AATGTTAGACTAATAACTGATAGTAGTAAAACTAATAAATGATATATATAAATAAAAATATATCATTGTAAAAATTTAAGTCAATTTTATTTTCAGTACATTTATGTATTTTCATTATTGTTATTTATTAGTTATTAAATATTTAATCCTTTTTTGAAATCGTTTGTAATTATTGATAAAATAAGTATTGATAATTAATGATTTCGTCTATTAATTTTATTTCTTTTAATTATTTTAATTCATAAATTTAACACTTGCAAAGTATGATTTATGATAAATACATAAATAATCGATTATACAATACAAATTTAAATACACTGATATTAAAAAATTCTTATATATGTAAATATACTAAACATATTTGTGCATATAATGAATTAATTGAATATACATATATATACAAAAGAAAAAAAATTATAATTAGTTTTAAATAAAGACATTCAAAAGAGGAGATTTATATGTGCTTTAGAAGATTTAGCTATATTCAATTCCCTAAATAATATTTTTGTAACATTTTGCAAAAATGCTTATAAAATATTATAACATTAATTTATTATTAGTAAAAAGTTAAAAATGTAATAATAAGTACTTAAAATAGCTGCAATTTTTAATGTTTATTTATGTATAAATAGGTGCTAAACGGGGAATACCATAAACAGTAGCTTAGTAGCGAAGTAATACGTATTCGGCAATAGTCCTTTTTATATTGTATCAGTATCAAATTGTAGATTTTACGTAAAAAATAATAATTATGAAAAATATTGTGACAAGATAAAATACAATACATTGTTTTCGTCATTTTCGTTCTAATTGCTATGGCTATGGCTGAAGGAAAAGTTGCACAATATGTGTAAATATGTTTAGTATATTTACATATATAAGAATTTTTTAATATTAGTGTATTTAAATTTGTATTGTTATTGTATGTATAATCGATTATTTATGTATTTATTCATTAATGCGATTGTGACACAATGATTATTGAATTTTATCATATAGTGATAGTAATAATAATACTTTTATGTTGACTGCATTCATTTGTACATGTAAAATTTTATATTAATAGGACAATAATTGAAGAAGCATCTGATTTTCTTATCGATTAATTTAAGTGAGATGCGTAATATTCTGAGATAATCAGACACATGTATTAAAAAAATTTAGTGTAGAATATATTCTTAATTTTCATTATAATTATGAACTTTTCACTAAAAAGTGTAAATATGTATCCAAATGTACATGTACAATAATATATAATTATTAACTTAAAGTTGCTCCAAGTCTATTTTAAAATAACTGCATGTAATATTTCTTTAGAATTAATCGTGTCTTTAATATGTATTTAATAATTATTTTTGAAAGACATTTTAGCATAATTGTACATTGAGAAAAATCAAAAGTAAATATTATAGAAGATAATGAAAAATGCTTATGGAATTACTACGTACATAGTGAACTGTACTTACACACAATCATTAATTCTTCGATAATGGTTAAAACGAATTAGACAACCGCGCCCATTATTATTTGGAGGGATTATAGTAAATATATCTGTGAGCATAATCGGATGTGCTTGAAATTTAATATCTATTATTACATACTACAGTTTCTACCATGAATGTTATGTTTAGTTGTTTTAGATGCATAATTAAATATACATCAATTAAACGACGAAATAATGCGTATGTAAAAAGGTTAACGTAGATATATTATTAGTTGCACTTTGTATACGTATAACAATTAAAAATAAATAAAAGTGTGTGTTATAGACAACAAATAAAAACTCTTTTCTTGCGAAATGTACGTATATGAATTAACGGATATGTACATATAGAATCGTTCTGAAAAATTAAACTAAAAAAATTAGTTTTATTAATCGAAAAATTGCATTGAATTTTATTTTATTTTTGTTATGCAGTATAATGAACGCTGTATCAAATATATATGCAGCGATTTGATATGTAGGTATTTCGCTTCTTAGCGCCAATTGCATTTATATTATTAAATGGTCGCAAACGTCACTTAATTACAGAGCAATTGGTCAACTATTACATTTTGTCGACAAAAGTAACATGGCTGTGTAAAACTCTATAAACGTTACACAAAACATGTGTTCATGGACAATATAAATGCAATATAAATGAGCATGATATTTAATAATATAGAAATAATTGGTATTATGTTGCACTTTGTTAAACTGGATCTGACATACGCACGTATACTCTTTATATGTTTATATTTTCACCAATTAAATGCAAATTCTCGGGGAATTTATATTGTTCCGTATTAATTTTCAACAATATGTATACAGTCAAAATCGGTAACACATTTTGTATCAAACGTAGGATAAAAGCTGTTTAAATATATTTTCTAGTTATTACTTTCCTTCTCTACTTGAATTGATTAAATACGTCTATTTCTGATTGTCAATGTCAGACGTAAGTAGTGTAAGTATAAGTGCGTAAATATAAGTGTAGAAACTTATTTCTTTGGTATATTCTCCTTTTTAATATAAAATATTTAGATATAAAAATTTGAGATTCAAATTTAAAATGTTCCAAAATAAAGCGCGCGTGTAGACACTCGTCATATTTCTTGAACATCCCTTACACGTAAATTGACACGACAAAAAGCTCGACGGCACTTGAGTCGATCGTACGGCGGTAAATCTGTAAAATGTGAATGTCGCTTAAAAGCGTCAAGTGTCCTGCCACGGATATAGTAAAAAAAGGTTAATTTGGCTCATGATGTGTCGAAGCTTTGCCGATGACAGGAAAAAAACCTCGACTATTTCTATTCAGCCACTATGGGCGAACAAAAGGACAATGCTACCGGATGATTCAGTTTCCTTTCCTGTTGTTTCCTGTCAACCGAATTAAAGAACAAGAGCGCTTTGTCGGAGAATCAATGGAATGCACGAGGCGCGCAATATGCACTCGATAGAATGCCGGCGCAAAGGGCAAAAAGCACTTGTACATTCGATACTGCTGAAATGGAAAGAGAATATCAGCGGAAGGCGACTCTCTTTTTGCATTCTCATTCTTGCGTATAAGATGATCTGTAATAACTAAAATCCGCAAAATAATTTGCTCTGTGATCGTGAGTTGAAGATTGACGTAACGAATGGCTACAGAATGCGATTCACTGCCGTAGTAAAGCGTTTATTAGCTTCACGAGCATTCACGTCGGCGTCATAATTGCTCGCTTAACTTTGACATATAACTTGTAAGCATTGAGAACGTCAATTTTTCAACACAAAATTATACATTTTAAGCTTAACGGAGAAATTTTCCACTTTACTCGAAATTGTCTCATTATTCTATTGCATACTGAGACGTTTCAACAATCACGTACATTTAGATAAGATAGAGAAAACAAAAATAATAATATACAAAAATTTCCGACCTTATCTAACGTCAAAACGATGACGAATATAATGGAAATTCTATGAATTTGAAAATTCTTGTAAAATTACACATTATTTTTATGTAAAGAATTTTTATTTTTTTTTAAATCATAATCACTATCGATAGAGTATAATCTCACCCGACCTTGCTTTCTTAGAATAGATATTGAAAGAGTTAAATAAATAATATCGCAATAAACAGATGACATTAATACTTTTAAAAAATTTGTTTTTAAAATTTAGCATACTCGAGAAAATTTTTTTCTGACACTATGGCTAACTGAAGAAATTAATTGCATATATAAGTCGTTGAATGTAAATAAAATATCAATTAAAAAAATAAATATCTGTTACTGTGGTATGTGGAATATACGTATGTACATAAACATGCAAAAATATAAATACAGACATTACATTCATATGCTACATGTGTGAGAAAATGTAATGCCTTCTCTCTAATTGGTTATGCGTAGTCAGATACATATATCACAGATTTACTTGTGTAAGTCATAGTCGTATAAATGCCTCGACCATTGTAAACTAAGAATTCAGTCGAGGTCGAGCTCTCGAGTTGGTTAAATCTAAAGAACTTTTGTCTGGTGAGTATTTGTCAATACAAATTCTAATTCGCCTACTTTGTCATATCAGATATTCTTTATAAAATTTATAAAATAAAATAATTGAAAATATTGGTTAAATGAAACAATGAGTCATATAGCAAAATTATAAAATTTATTGTAAAACTGTGTATATAAATTGTTTACTGTTTATTAAATAGCCGTCAGAAAATCAATAATCAATTTTAATGAAGTGATAACATAAATAAATTTAATCTTTAGAAACTTATTGCATTGTTAATTTATCCAAGACCTTCAATTATATAATTATTTATTTATACTAAATATATATGTATTAAAAATATTACAAGTGTCGTATTGTTGTCATAAATTTTAAATTTTGATTTGTTATCATGACGTAATAAAGAAAAAATAAAATATTAAAGTACATTTTAAAATATTTTAATATTGTAGATTAATTTAAAAAATTGAGAAGTTTAGAAAACAAAAAATGTATTTATACATATAAAAGTATATGTTTTCGAGATAGTATTATAAATATACGCTAACATTACGAAGTTTAATTGTAATAAGCGATTTTTTTAATAATTTACTGTTGTTATGCTATTGTATCACGCATTTGACATATGCTATATTCGGTCACGATTAAAATAATTGTATAGTTTTGTAGTCAACAGCATATTAGAAACTTATTCGTAATGGAATAATAGTAGTTCAAGTAGCAAATTGTAAAGCACAATTCTAAAATTCAACGATTACTTTGTCTATTAAAGAACTAATTGAGTCAGATCTCGATGATTCATTCACATATACCTGTAATCTGTGCTGTGTAAGTATAAAACTCACGGTCGACTTATATCGCATTATGTAAACTAGATTTCATGAATACTTAGTCTGAACATGTTACGTGCATAAATTGGGAATTAAAATTCAGTATTATAATATTTAAAATAACAAATGAGTCATTCCATTTTTTTAATACAATTACTATAACCTTGAGCAATTAAAAATAATTTTGATAGATATTACATTATCGATTTACAATGCTTTTTATTACTTCCGTATCTGAATCTAATTTGTGAAAATTACTTGATTGCAGAATACGACGTTGCTGAAAAGATGGCGAAATTGATGCTGTACGTCTTTGTAGCGTTGCTAGCTGCGTCTCTTATCATGGGCGCTCCCGATAAGTGCGGTCGACATGGTGACCCTGTTAGTATACATATTCTTGCATGCTTTATTTTTCTGATCAAGTCGCTTTTTCTTTCCTACTCATTTTTTTTTAAGACGCAGTATTGTTATAATCAACGAGGAAAATAAGGAAAATAATTTTGCGTAATGGAATACTAAACGATTCATATGAATCACTATTTATACGAGAACTGTAAAACGCACAGTAAATTAGGAAATTTTAGTATATAAAAAATGTGCATAATTTTAACGGTTATATATACCGCTAATATTGAATAATTTAAAAGTCTACTTAGAATATCTACTTAGAATAACGTAAAATATATTGTATTTGTACATACTCAGAATGACGTAAAATATATTTTTATATACTTCTCCAAAGTTTACCTTTTTCTAATTTTTTTTATATTGTTTTGATTCGATGTTTTTAATTTGCATATTGTTGTATAGAGTGTCTAGTAAACTGTAATATTGGCAAACAAATAATTTGTCGTAAAAAAGCAAGTAAAAATAACAAATAAATTTTTTATTACTGAAAAGCTTTTATTTTAAATTTTCACTTGTTTTTTCACAAGAAATCTGCTCGTTGATTGTAATGCTATTATTTAGGAAAATTCTGTACATATTATCTTTTCTTCGCATGTGAATATTTTCTTAAAACTGATTTGATATGTTAGTTTTTACGTTCAGATTTACAAAATTATCTATTAACATCTTTCATTATTTCAGTTTAAATTGAATTTATGTGATAAATAATAGATTGTTTATCAAATTTTAGTGCATTTCTGACTCGCAATGCTGCAACAATATAAAATGTCATCGTTATGCAAACAGATGTCAAGTTCAAATTACTGAGGCAGATTTGATGGCGCAACGTGAGAAGATTTTGGGCCGAAAGGGCAAAGATTATTAACAGCTAAGTTTTCAGGGTCATTAGAATGACGATTCTGTTAATCTACAACGATTAATCTACTATGATCTACTTAGATTTGAAGACTGTATTTAAAAAATTGAATATTAACGTATAACATATGTATAATAATCAGAAAATTAATATGATTTCTTATATATATATATATATATATATAATATAAATAAACAGTAAATTCATTGTAGATATAAGCAATATCTTGTAATGAAAAATGAGATTAAAAACATTAACTGTTTAATTCGTTTATAATTTTTTTCTAAAGAATATAGTGCCTTCTCGTAAACGGAAAAAAGATTCCAACAAAATATTCATCTCATTGATTATTGCAATCTTATTAATTTGCGTCGGTTTATAATTAGAAGAATTTTTCGAAATAACGTAATCGCTTGCGTTATCGGATTTCTTAGCGACAAACTACAATGCATACTTCAAAAGGACTTGTCGACGCAAAATGATGAAAAAGAACACGCCAGGATTGCCTCCAGAAGTGACGAAAATTTCGAGCGGATAGATCCGTCGCGACGATCCCCCGGCTTTGTCCGCCCTGTGCACCTCTCTACGCGTGCGTCCCGTCTGTTATATTCGAGGACATTTAAATTCACTATCTCCTATCTCGGTTTACCGTATACTCGTTAAAAGGCGAGCCTTTGTTCGATAAAAAGACTCCGTCGGTATATATCCGCAGAACGGAGTAAAAATCCCACTGGACTCGACATGTTACGTGGCGTGCGAAGGACAGGTGCGCGGGGGTCCGTTGGGGTGGTTTAATAGCATCGACTTATCTTTCGATAAGCCCGTACCAGAACTCGCCATATGGTCGATTCAGAATCGCTCGTGAACGATTTCTTTCCATGTCTCCAGATTACGATGGATAAGTTAATGTCATACAAAGGTATTGTCATGGTTGCCGTATCAGAGTTTTAAATCCCTGTTCATAACACGTGATATCTCATGCGTATCTCCACAATTATTGAAAATAATGCATCTTATAAAACGATGCCTCGGAAGACTGAACGTTGCACGAAACAATTTACCGAGTATTTAACATGATCGGCGCTAACAAGAGTTTGCAAAATTTAGAGAAGTTTCTTTCTGTAATATTCTGCCGTGAATATATTTCATCGACGGAGCCGAGGCCTTTGTAAATTTGAAAAGTAGGTGGACTTTGATTCAAAGACCAAAAGCTTCTTCGGTTCGTTATACAAAATTTCCGCCGTGTTCCAATCTCATTAGCGCCGGCTTAAAGTTAAGCGCCCCAACTCTTTTGCGCCGGACCGCACGTGCTCTTTGACCATCGCAGTGTTTTAACAGAAATCTAACCTTCTTGACAAATTAAAGACGGACATACATACGCATATTTTTAATCAACAAAGAAAAACATATCAGACAATCGTTCCACAAAAATATGCGCGCTGCTTGAAACTTGTTCATAATCTCGCTGCTCGCGCGAATTTGCTTACTCCCGATTAAATTTACATTTTTCGATCTTGTTACCTACGATTTTCAAATCTACGATTTATTTGTTGTTATAATATATTTTACTCCAATCCCAATTACAATTTTCAATCTATCAAAGGATCTATTCATAATAGGAAAATATAATTCACTTGCGGTTCACAATTTAATTTTCGCAAATCAACGTCTGTTGCGACATTGATAAGGCAAAAAGGTGTTCTATACACATATAATCGGTTGCTAGTAAAGACGTCACCTTGCAAATATTTGCTCGCTGTCTCTTATCGTGCCTCAGCTTAATTGCCATATGGTGTACGGTCATATTTCATGCGCGTATTTTTTTGTCTTAGATATATATGTCTTGCACAAGCTCTCGGATATTTTCTATAACCTACGGCAATCGATATATGTACTTTCGTTTTTTTTTTTTTAATCAGAAAAATGTTAGCGAATAATTTCATAATCAATTTCACAATCAAAGCATGACACAAAAAACCACATACGTCTATTTATTTTTCCAAGACTCGAACGAATTGCTTACAGCCTTCTAGATCGAAATCCTCTTACACGCCGAATCCAGTTACGCGACATACTTGGCGCTTGAAAAGAGAAAGCGCACGAGATGAGCATCATTCGAAGTAGTGTCAAGGCCGCGCCTCAAGGACAGGTAGGTGAGAGCCGTGCAAAATCCCGACGTCGAAAGCAGAAAGAAAAAAAAAAAAAAAAAAGAGAAAAAGAAGGATGTATGAAGAGAGCACCGGAGACAAACAGCGAGCCGAGGCAAGTCCTCGACTTGAGTTGAGTGTCTCTCTCTTCGTGGTTCCTTTTAAGTTCTCAACCGGCGAGGTATGCCACACAGCAGGTCCTACTTTTAAGCACGTTCCCGCGGCGGATCGTGTCGGATGTTAGAAGATTACGGCGAGCGAAGTATAATAGCGATACGAGAGAAGAGGGAGATCGAAGATATATAAGCATCGCAAAGAAAGAGGCACAGAAAGAGAAAGAGAGAGAGAAAGAGAGAGAGGAGGAAATGAAGGATTGTCCGACCTGTCTCATTCTCGAGCAAGATCAGCTGCGAGCTTACAAGAAGTGAGGTAATGCCAGCGGCATGCCGCGAACATACGCGGTCGCCACAATATGAAAACATTATCGGCCGTAAGCCGGAAGGTACATAGCAATGTGCTGAGCTTAGCTCTGCAGCCCCGGCTGTGCAACGCGATCTTTCACTATCGCGGTGCAGTGCCACGTCAGGACGTCAGGATTTCAGGTGGGTACTTGTCCGCCGGATTCGCATAGCCCAAAAGCGCTCCCGAGAGCATGGAGAAAGGGAGGCACCGGAGCCGATTTGCGAAAGGAACGAGGGAGGAGATAGGCTGCAGCGTAGCACCAGGCATGCACTCCGCCCCAAATCCTCGACGGATCCGCCGGAAGAGCGCTAATGAAACTGTCGCCAGATTACTACTCGCCGGCGCTACTTTTCTGATGGCGCTTCGAGGACGCTCGAGGACGCTCGCTCGTCTTGTCCGACATGAACGCTCCAAGTCCAGAAGGATTTAGAGCCGGCGATGGGAGATATTCCGCGGCTTCGATGACATCGCCGTAGTCGAAAATTACCGTTCATCTTGTCATTTCGCTCGACGGCCGGACAAAAAGAGCGTTTAAACGCACGTACGCTTTGTCAGGCATAGCCGCGGCATCGGGGACGCGCTAGTGATTTTCCGTTATCGGGCTGATCCGACGAATGGAGGGGAAGGGGGTAAAGTGTGACGGTGACGAGGACAGGTCGGTGTTGAGGAGAATGCGAATACCGAGGCGACGCGCACCAATACACACGGCAATACAAACACCCGACTACTTAGAGACAAGGGAAATGGGACTAGCCATTTGGGGCAAACTATCCCCCCAGGCTAGCTCACGCGACCGATCTTATCGTCGGCTTAGCCTGGGTCTCTCGCCTCGAACGTATCGCGCGAACGTATACACGTGACAGTCTATCACATGCACGAAGCTCCGCCTCGGCTATCTTGCCTGGAATTGATTTCTTGCATTCGTTATTTCCTTGGAACTCAATCGACTAACAATAAGTATACATGTATATATATATATATATATATGTATTGTATTTTTTTTTATTCTGACGAATCGTAGCGATTAAGCGCACATTGAAATATTCACGACGATACTATCGGTACTACCTACGTCAGGAAAAAACCGAGCTTGAAATCAAGACGAGCTTTATCATATTACACGTACGAGAACCATCGATTCGCTCTCTCCGTTATCTCTGTAAAATTCTTCTAGATCAATAAAATTTTACAATATTAAAGTATCATATCAGACCGTGATGTGAACATACAACGGGTAAGAAATAAAGGTTAAGCGATTAAGCTAGGATCTTAATAAAATGTTATACAGTAAGTAAGTAAATCTCAGAAAATAATAAGAAAAAGCAAATAATATTTTGCCTTTCTACGTAGTCTTTTTTCTCTCGCAGAAAGATATCATCTATTTAGAGTGATTATAACAAAATCGATTGGCCTGTATTGTATCAGATAGTCAACCAAAGAAAAAGAAATATAGTAAGCTCTCTTGTTACACAGTATTGTATTTTAAAATTGTATTGACTGAATGCCAATGACCCGAAAAATATATTGTTTTGCGTTGACCTAGTTTATCGAAATATTGATACATGCCTGTCTGAACGTCGCGGTACGATTGCACGAATTATTCTAGAATCACGATCATCCTTCAACTTCCACTATCGGCACGACGGCAACTTCTCGACTGCTGCTTATTATTTGCCGGTTTCTATCCTGATCAAACCGCGATACCGCCGAGAGGGTCAAGACTCCTTTGCAACTTGAGAGCGTGGCGCTTACACAATCATACCAGGCATTTCGCTGAGATCCTTCGGATTACACGGGGTCGGTCTTGCGAGTAACTCAAGTCGAACTTAACAGTCGGTTAAGTCCGCGGATAGTTCAGACCGTTTGGCTAGTCCGGTTCGTACGGAGGGCATGAAGTCCGAACTGTAAGCCACTACGTAACCCCGGCGGCCATGGGGGGTTCGGCCGAGGTCATGGAGACGTGCCAGTCTTATCTCGATTTGCATAAATTCATAGTTTGCGGCTTAGGCCCTACGAACTAAGGATACCGGGCGTACCTTATTCCGCGTCATCAAACTTTCAATTCCTTTATCGTCTTGTTTCCAATTAGTGTGTGACCGCACTTCTGATCTCACCTTGATCAAAGTAAAATTATTCATAGATCCAAGATTATATTCGTGAATAATGGTTTTCCTTAGAAATATTTCTGTACGTTAATATCGCTCAATCTTTCGTTTCCTGTCTTGCGAATGAGAAATATATGAGAGAGAGAGAGAGAGAGAGAGAGAGAGAGGAGAGAGAGAGAGAGA